GAAAGGGAAAAGTAGATCCTCTTGGCTCGTGTCTCCTGGCGACTATTCCTGAAAATTGAACGTCACTCTTCCACAAACGAGACGTTTTGCATTTCCGCCCCTTTTTTTCCCTTTTTTTACCCCCCGTCGCATTAAATAAACGAAAAGTTGCTAAAAAATTTCACGCGGCATAGATGCACAGAGCGTACAGTGAGCGTTTGAAAGAGGATATTTGATATTCTCAAAATACGTCGATGTGTAATTGTTCTTGGCGATACTTTGTATTTATTTGTCGATTCGGCAAATAAATACAAAGTGAAATAATGGAATTTTTCCAAACGCTGTTTCTTATTATTTACGATATCTCTCATACGTATTAGAAGGAAAAAAAAAAAGAGAAAAGGAAAAAGAAATAATTATTTTCAAAATGTTTTAAATGAATCAGACGCCGGGTAGGAACGAGAAACAAAAAAAAAAAAAAATTGTGAATAACCAACTGACAGTATTGCATCTGGTTACATTTTCATAAAGTATTATATTTCCAACCTGTTATCGAGCGCTTCAATTTTTTACCATCGTGCGGTTCCCCGAAACGAAAGCAACAATTTTATTATCATCGCAAAGACAAAAAAAAAAAGGAAAGAATAATCGCACGGTGAGTTTTGTCAAAATTCGGAGAAAGCCAAACGAATATTACCGCGTTTCGTACGTGTGTCAAAGGAAAAAAAGAAACAAAAAATGAAAAAATGAAAAAAGAAAGTTGGAAAAAGAAAGAGAGGAGATGGCGGAGAACGGGGAAGACACTTGGAAAGCGAAGAGGAAATGATCGAGATGAAAACGCCGAATAGAGAGAGGCTGGAAGACTGTAAGAGAGGAAGAAGGAGGATCGCTCTTAAGTTATTATTAGGGTGTATTTCCCCGAGGGATATTTCGTTTCAGCTCGACTAATGACTGCACCAGAGTAGAAACAAATTTGAACGGACCCGACTTTGTCGCATCGTTTCTCTTTCGCTTCAGCGTGCTCGCTCTCCCCGGTCCTTCGTGTATCGATCGACTTTTTTCCTTTTCTCCTCCATTCCTTCCTTTTCTTCGCCTTTTCATCGCGAAGGTTTCTCCTTACGTTCGAAAGCTTAAATTTATGTATTTGACAAATGACTCGGAAAGAGAATGGAACGTTTAGATCGACGCTGCACCGTTTCTCGCTGTGGTCTGCCCGTTTGTTTGACATTTATTAAAAAACGTTTCATCGAAAATTACCATTTCACTTGGATGGATGAAGCAAGGAGCTACGAGATCCATGAATTTTCAAGGTCAGCTTGCAAGTGCTCCGTCGTCGTCTCGATGATCGACGATTGGATATACTCGGCTATTTATTTTTCCTTCGGCCGAGAGAGCGGTATCGACATTGAGCGAGCTGGACGGATCTGGTATTCCTTATTTGCCGGCACGATGCACGGACACGTACAAATTATTCAACGCCCGGCTCCTTCTGCCTCTTAATTTCTCGCATAAAATCCGGAGACTCTCTCGGTTCGATTGCACAGTCGTTGTGCAACGCGACGCGACGCGACGTCCATTAGAGAATGCGCAATATTTGTTTAAGAACGAGTATGCTAAATACGTACTAAACGTACGAAACGTGAGGACGAAAAATTATACAAACTGGCGGACTCTCTCGTCGAGAGATGGCGAACGATTCGACAAACGTCGAACGAATTTGAAGGTTTCTCGTTAAATGGAAAGACTCGAGACAATTGCAGACGTCGCGAACGAGAGTTTGCAGAATGCAAACGAATGAAAAGTGCGTTCGATCGAATCACCGTTCCGCGCTCAAGCATTCGTCCTTGTGTCTATTAACGAGCTAACGAGCAAGGCGCCAAGAGCTGTGATTTCCGCCTATTATCTTCCGTCAATCAGCGCCGGACGGTGTGTTACAGTGTGTTTCATAAGAACGCCGTTTCTCTGAAAAAAAAAAAAAAAAAAAAAAAAATAAGCGTAAAGTCCGAAACCCGCGAACGTTAAAGCAGCCAAACATCCAAACGCTGCACTTTTATTGGATGTTTGACAGTTCTCTGAACAAATGGATTTTCGTAGAAAGACTAGGCTCGTCTGACAAGATTTGAAAATGTTTGGATCTATCTTCTATGCTGAAAAGTTGCATCGGAGAAATAATCTCTAATGCTGAATACTGGACGCACTTAATGGCATTTTAGGTGCAAAAAAAGGAAAAAATATTTTTTTCCAGAGAAATGGCGTCCACGTTCATATGAAACAAAGTGTATATCGATGGCTGGCCAGTTAAATTGAATTTCAGACTCTGCTACTGGCAGACTCTCAAAGACGATGAGAGTCTTTGACAATGGATTCTGTTTCACGAGCCTTCTTATTTCCTATTTTCTACTCTCTACTTACTACCAAGCTTCCGGTCAGAAGCGTTGCGTCGCGTCGTTCTACGATACTTTTGGACAGAAGCGGTATCTCAAGCTTCTCTTCGTCAGTCGCCCTCAATTTCCGTGGGGGCAGAGCTCGACGGTGCAAGCTCTCGGAAATTGGAAAAAATAAATCGCAATCGACATCGAGAAAAACGCAAAACGCGCGACGCCGATCGTCTATCCCGCTCGCGAACAATTTTCAAATTACTTCAAACTGTTCCGTTCAAACGGAAATGCCATGCTGGAGAAAGCAAAGCCTCTCCTCTCCAAGATGGCGATGCAAAGAGGGAGGAAGCGAAAGGGAAACAAGCAACTGGGAAAAGAAGAAGAAGAAGAAGAAGAAGAAGAAGAAAAATCGAGGCAGAGAATAATTAAGCGATCGCCGTTTATTGGGGAGGACGGGACGGGATTTTTTGTCATAGCGGAGATTTAATTGGCGGAGATGTAGTGAGTAAGATAGGCGGTTGCATTGTCTGTAGGATGTTAAGAGGGTTAGCCGTGGAAGTACAGGGAACAGGGGGAGGAGATGGTCGGTCGGTCGTTCGTTCGTTCGGTGGCGGTGGTGTGCAAGGGTGTGCAAGGGTGCCGGTGTAATGAAGAGCGACAGTGGCGCCCGGAGCCATCGCTAATTTGCCGCTAAGTGGCCGGCTTTGTTTCCGTACGTTGATCCCATCGTTCGCAATATCCTGGATCCGAGGCGAGACGACGCGGACGTTCCACGCCGCTCAAGAGAGACATCCAAATAACCCGCGGCCGTCTCTATTCCGACCAATTCGCCGTTCCACAGGCCAATTTCCACCGTCTCAAAAACTATTGCAGCAATGGGATCCTATCATTGCTCCCACCCTCGCCGTCTTTGTAATATGCCCGTCCGACCGATCTCCGAGCAAAGACGACTACTCGAGCAAAGTGCTCGAAAACGATGCAAATACAGGGGACAGAAATACCCTGGATTTCGAACTTGGCAACTTCGTTTCATACTACGCCAATTTTTACCCATCTCGCGAAATGTTTAAATCTTTAAATAACGCCACATGTGTGAAAATTACACACACGCCGACCGAGTCGAAAAACTTAAGACTAGAGGCTGGAACATTTACAAAACGATCGATTGTATCAAAAACCGTTTTAGACGAAAGTTCGAAAGGGTTTCGTTAATCGATGTAATTGGTACTCTTCAATTGACTGACGTATTGCAGGTATTTGAGATCAAGATCAAGTTTGTTTCGTTCGATTCACCTCGACATTCTCTGTAAAAAAAAAAAAAGCATCGAACGAATGATAATGTCAAACATTCTTCAAGAATTAGATTACAAAAGTGATCGTCACTTTGTGCACTGTCCTGTAGTAGTGGCATGAGCAATTATTTCATTCCAATCGCAGTGAATAATTAATGTAATAAATAAAAATCTCATGCTATTACTAATGGTGCAGATAAATTCGATACTCTATAATCATTACTCTGAATTATTTTAATTAAAATATCTCCTTAATTAATAATTTTCTGATATAAACAAATACAAAAGTTTTTCTAACGTAAAATGTCCTAAAACGTTTTCCTAATCTAAAACCTAAACCTAGATGCTAAAAGCGTCTTCTTTTTTAAAAGCATCAACATTAAAAAATAATTTAATAGTTAATTCTTCTTTTGAAACTATTTGACTTTTATCTAACAATAGGACATTTTTGAATACAATAATTTTATTTTTAATTTATTTTCGAAAATATTTCAGCTGCCAGTCTCAGGTGACTGTATACCCTTGAAACGATACTTACATTAGAATTTGGAATGCTTCGCTTTCTCTTTCATTTCACGTCCCACAGATTACGTAACATTACGGTTAGTTACGTAACGCGAGAATTGGCAAAAATCAAATTCAAAATCGCGACGTGAGATATAATCCCATTTCATTTGAAACGCTAAAGAGATAAACTCTGTTTCGATAAAATACTGAAAAACAGATTTCTACATATACATACATCGCGTCGTATCTAGCGTTTCGGTAGGATTAATAGAATTTGCTTTCGAGCCGATAGAGTAACGTTGTGCAATTACGCGCAACAATTATGTTTCTTCTGGAAACAGGATGAAATTTACGTTGACATCGTATCACGAAATTATGATGTATTTACCAATACATGGAAATATTACATGTCACATGCCTCGGAACAAGACAAGTTGAATGGCACAACAAAGAATTTACTATGTAAATGATAATTATTTGGGACGAATTTGTCGATCGGCTTTGCAAATCTGATAAACTCGAGGCGACGTGTTGACGAAACGAAGAAGATGTTGAATAATTTTTTTTTTTTTGTTCCTCTTCATTAACCACGCTATTTCGTCGATACTTTAAAAATGCATCGCGAAAGAATATTTTGAACGAAAGGAATGAGAAATTCATACGCGTATTCATAGGCATATTATATTGTTCAATGAACGATCGACGATTTGAACTCTCCTCGTCGACAATGACACAGCAAAATATCTAATCTATACAAACACCATCGGTTGCGCAAATTATCGCAAGCGATACAGCCGGATATAAAAGCGTAGCTTGGTATAAATCGGGTGGGAATTGGAGAACATCGAGACGTACCTGCACGTTGGAAAACATAGTTCCCCCAGAACTGTTTTTGTGAGCAGTCAGACTGAACGTCGCCACGTCATCACAGTCGCTCGCCGGTACGCTTCGCGGATACATCACGATGGATTACCTATCGGTCGCTTTATCGCTGGTGGCGGTGTTCGTTGCCCTCTATTACTTCATCGCGAGTAGTCAGAATTTGTTCAAGAAGCATGGAATCGTGCACGTTCCGCCGACGCCGCTGCTTGGAAACATGGGATCGTTCATCAAACGACAGATCACCATGGCGGATTTGATAATCAACGCTTATCAACTGGATCCAAAAGCGAAATACGTCGGTTTCTACGAATTTCTCACGCCGATAATAGTGCTGCGCGATCTCGATCTGATCAAAGTCATTGCCATGAAGCACGTCGAACATTTCCCGGACCATCGTCCGATGGTGAACAGAAAAGTGGATAGCATGCTAGGTGGATCGCTGTTCATAATGAACAGTGACGAGTGGAAGTATCACAGGAACATACTGTCGCCGACGTTTACCTCCAGCAAGATAAAAACCATGTTCAAGCTGATGTCGGAATGCGCGATCAGATTCGCCGAGCATTTGTCGAATCTGCCGGAGGATAAGCGCGAAATGGAGATGAAAGATCTGTTGACGAGATACACGAACGACGTGATCGCCAGCTGCGTCTACAACGCGTCCGTAGACTCTATCAAGGAACCGAACAACATGTTCTACGTGTACGGTAAAATTGGCACGTCGATGGCAACGTTCAAGAAATCCGCGATGGCTCTGGTACACAGGAACGCTTCACGGTTGGCGGAGCTGCTGCAACTCAACATCCTGGACAGCCACGTTGCCAAATTTTTCCACGACCAAGTGGCAGAGCAGGTGGAGACCAGGCAACGGACCGGCGCTCGCAGGCCGGACTTTCTGCAGCTGCTCATAGACAGTAACGAGAAAAAAGAGCCGGGGAAAGAGCTGACCGTGAAACAGATGGCGAATCACGCGTTCAGCTTCTTCTTCGGCGGTTTCGACAGCGTCTCGGCGCAAACCTGCATAGCGGCGCATCTGCTGGCCGAGAATCCGGACGTTCAGGAAAGATTGCAGCGGGAGATCGACGAGACGTTGGAGAGCAACAACGGAGAGCTGACGTACGACGTGTTGCACGAGATGAAGTACCTGGACGCGGTGATCAGCGAAGTCTTACGACTTTTCCCGATCGCCACGTTTACGGACAGGATGTGCGTCAAAGATTTCGAACTGCCGCCGGCGCGACCCGGCGACAAACCGTTCACCGTCAACGCAGGGATGAACGTCTGGATTCCCGTGATTGGGATCCACCGGGACCCCCAGTACTACGAGAACCCCTTGAAATTCGACCCGGACAGATTTTACGAAAACCACAAAACGGTCATCAGTTCGGGCGCGTACATGCCGTTCGGCCTTGGGCCGAGGATGTGCATCGGCAACCGATTCGCTCTGACGGAGATGAAGGTGCTGCTCTGTCACGTTCTCGCCAAGTGCAGCATCAAGATCACGCCGAGAACCATCACCCCGTTTCAGCTCGAGGAAGGCGTGATAAACACCACCGGAAAAAACGGATTCTGGCTGGCCATCGAGCCAAGGAAAAGTCTCTCCGATGTTTCCGCCAGCCCTGTTCCCTGCAATTGAACGTAAAATGAAAGGATTACATGTATTATCTATATGAATGTTGGATGTTTGATCGCATGTACGACTTCAACATGGGCAAATAAAGAATGTTGTTCCTCGCATTGTTAGCTGTAACGCTCTTGATAAAAATGCGTAACTGAAAGGCGCATTTACTGGCGTCGAACAGCTCTCTTCCGTGTCTTGCAATCCACTGAAAATGGGAAAATTGTCGATACGATACGAGCGGATACTTTAATGGAATGACAACAGAACGATCGTTTGAATCGAGCTCGGCTCTATTTGTAAAATTCGGCTCTCGACTTACCGTTAGTACAAAAAAAATAATGAGCAATCGCGTCTGATTTCTATGGGCGATTGTTGCTTTTGTTCCGCGTGCAACACCTCGAATTGCTGCGACATTATGTAGATAAACAATCCGGTATCTCTGAAGGTTAGATATAACGAAAATCTTACAGATCTTTCGCTCACAAACTAAAGTATCTATATACAAACGGAGCGTGTTAATCTACGTGTTGTAACGGTGATAACATTTTTGCTATAGTTTTATCGTAATACATAGCGTGTATCGTGGCCGCTTCGACTAATTTTATTCCGCCGTGTACGATTTAAATTAAAATTCGAAAAGATTTAATTCGATTTAGCACCGTGTATGTATTTTGTCGATACAATTTTGTATCGTTGTTTGCGACGTTAACAAACGAACATTGTTAATCGTAACATTTTCGTGTTTTTTTTTCTTTTTACAAACTGTTTGTTAAATAAACGAAAGATTTAACGGAACTGAGAGAAATATTTTCAGTTTAAACAGAAACATTCTCATTTTCACGTCCGTGCGAATAATCTTACGAAAGGTAACAACGAAAAAAAGACGAATAGCTAGGTAATTTATATATATATATATATATTAATTTCTGTATTAAGATAAAAATATTATGTTAATCACGATCTGTTGTACGTACGTACAACAAAGTATAAAATTTCAAAAATAGTCATTAGGAAAATAATCTCGAGAACAAAATGCTTAAGATATTATTATTTTTTTTTTTTTTTTTTTTTGAGATAATGCCAATTGTCGCGATTATTGACACAAACTTTCTGCGTACTTGTGTCTCGTTTATCTAGAAATTAAGTGTTTACCTAGTAAATTAATTATAATTTATGTAGCACAGCGATAAAGATATTGATACACACATACATGTATAAATAGATAAATAAAACTGTCAATGGTATTTTGCATTTCAACATTTTTATATTTGTTAATCAAAACAATTTGTTTCAATTGCAATTCCTCTGTTGTACAATACAGGATGATTCATAACTGGTGGTACAATCAAGTACAGAGTGATTCTACAATAAGAGAAAAAATAAGTAAAAAGAAAAATTTTTTTTCGTTCGATGCTTCGTTTTTGAAACATCGTTAGATCAGATAAGACATCAACTTTGATGTTTCATCTGGCACTATGTATATTTATTTGACTTGCCAGTCTTATCTCGTATTAAATTAACATTACTGACAATGCTCGTGTTTATAAATATTTCCAATGTTACGGAGATGAGTTAAAATTTGATTACTTTAAAAATATTGTTGGAAATGGTTCCCATAATGTTCACGTATACACAGTCGTGCTCTTTTTATTAAGTTGCTGCGAACACTCTTCTGCTATCTTATCGCATCAAATGCAAAACAATCTTTTCTTTTCTTCATAAATGACGCGACTTAACTTAATAAAAATGCTAGATCGAAAAGTACTAGAATGCTAAGACAAAGCGAAAAAATTTTACTTCTTTTTTAGAATTACCTTACGTCACCAGTTACGAATCGTCCTGGATAACTATTGTTGAAATTGTCGAAATTGAAACACGGTGATATTAAAAATTAGAATGTACATAATTCCATTATTTGTGCGATATTTGCAATACATATGACATTGTTGATCGAAAAAGAGAGAGAGGTGCAGGGCAAAGAAACAGAAAAAGAGCACGAGCGAAATCTCGGAGGAAGAAGAAGAAGCAGAAGGAGAAGAAAAAAGAGGAGAAGGAGGAAGGGAAGTGAGATTCGTTTTTCCTTTTAGCCATCGGTTCGCGCCTTTTTCCACTAACACGACAAGACAATACACTGCTCGAATCCACCCTTACGATCTTCAGTTCATTAATTCTGGCCAAAAGCCAGGCCTTGATGCTGTTGGTTCGATCGCTAACCTCCGCTCTCGAGGCTTCCTCTTCGTTCCTCGTCCCTTCCCCCCCCTTTCCCCGCGCGCTCGCCCCGTGGCTAAAGTGAATTACATTAGAGGGGAGAGGGTAGTTTTATCGAGTCAACCTGCCAGATATTTCCTAAGGCACCGACCATAGGTTGTCGGGGGGGGGCGGAAAAGAGGGGAAAGGGCAGAGGGGAGACGTTTTAACAACGTCCAACGTTCCTTCAAATATGTCGCGCGAACGCGTAATCCGCGCATCGCCGAACAACTACTGAATTGCTTCGCCCCGCTTCGTTCGAAATTTAACTTGTTGATCGTTTACGAAAATATTCGCGTTGCGCGTTGTTAGTTGTTTCCTACTTTGACCAATCTCGCCGCTATTATTAACTATGTAGCTAGTTATTACCGCTAACTTTCAACTCGGCTGTTGTTAATAGCCTGCGAGTAGAATTGATCTCCGGAGGAATTCGCGATACATAGTGAACGCGCGTGGCACGTCTACGCTCTGCGGTCACTTGTAACTTGTATACTATTACACAGACATTTTATTACTCCTGTGGTTGCTACCTATGGTATCGCATCGTCGACACTTGCACGACGTAATTGTAACATGATTGTAGTTGACGATCATTATCCAAAAAAAAATCGTACAAGCTCGTTGTTTCTTGTCAAAGACGAGAGAGGTTTCTCCACGTTTGATTATTTTCGAGGAAAAGAAAAAGGAATCAGTTACGTTTAAACTGCGTATAAATTTACACTTTCTACGAAAGCGATTACAGTAACACAGTAGCTGTTGTATCGTTCTGATAGCGTTCAATTACTTGTATTAACAAAAAAAAAAGAAAAAAAATACAATATACAAGGCATATCGGCTGTCTCTTTCTTCTTTATCGTCATTGATATAACAGTCAATTCACACCACTATCAGTGTTCGTAAATAGAATACGATCGTTTTAAAATGAATTTCAAAACAACGAATCAAAAATTCACAGTCACGTCAAATAGACGTTAACGTACAATTTCAGATTTTTAATCGTTTGGCAACATTACTCACACTCGTGCATATATGTCTCGACTCTAAGGAAACAAAGGAAAACAAATAGCAAATTGCCGATTCCGAAGAAACTAGATGCCAAATGAATGAGCGTATTGTCATGATTTTTCGGACCATGACCAAAGAAGAAGAAAAAGTAGGTCAATTGGGTGACGCGCAACGAGCGAGCAGCTGATGGTGTGGTCGCTTCCAAGTACATACGAATCTGTGTACATAGTACACAGGAACTCGCTCATTAAGGCAACATTCACAAGGTCGTATCATATCTTTGCCACTGGTCGATCACGTAGCAGAATATATTATACGACTGTTATACGTACCACGGGCGCGATGTTACGTGCTGGACATGCAGACGATGCTCATGTATCCAACGCGGATGATAATTGAGATGGACGCGTAACACGCGTCCATTATGCGACCGGAGATATACGCCACGACTTGATGCTTTCTTCTCCAATTTTTCTCCGATTTCTGTTGCTCCGTTGAAGATGAAACGTCAACAGATCGTCGAGATCGAAAGATTATTTTTTTTCTCTTTTTTCTTCATTCGTTCATTGACTCGATGATTTTTTTAGTATTAATACTATAAAGAAGTTTCTCGTCACGTGTGTCGAGCCTAGCTTTCGAAATGATTCACTAAACACTGCCGTTACCAGCGTTATCCATTTATGACATGTATACGTTGCTACCAACGCACGATTATACACAAAATTCACTATAGTGGCGCCAACAGAATTTTTTTTACGAATTTTTCGAAAACTAACATAAGAAAAGGTTGTGCGGACAAATTTCAAAATTTTTAATTTTCAGAGAGAATGCAAGATATTGTTACTTTTATCGTCTGGGAATGATAACGATTAGATACGATGATTAAATGGAAATAATGATCATATGATTATTTTTCTAATTTAGCTCAAAGTCAGTATATTTATCTCGAATAGTCATTTTATTTAATAGCACAACAAATCTACATCTAACGAATAACGCATATTTCTCGCAACAAAGAATATATTAAATCTTCATAAAAACATATTAAAAAAAGAAATTTACAGAAGATTATTATCTTATTTTAATCTAAAAAATTTTTCCTATCGACCAGAAAATTCACGGCTATTTCCCATACATTCCGTGAGACTAGATGGTAGGAATCGACAGAAAATTCTTTGATAATATCGTCGACGTTCTGAAAATTAACAATTTTCCTGGCGAAACAAAAAAATCAATGAAAAAAAAAGAAAGAAACAAGATAAATCCTACCTTATGCTCGAAAACACAAATGGGCGTATAATCGTTCGTAACTTGTGCATTTTGACTAAATAGAAGAAACTGAATAAACATGTTTCCAACATGTTTGCAGCAGGAGACACCATCTTTGTACATACACGTAAATCGTACATTTTACGAGCTAAAACGAGAGTCTCGCTTCCGATTTATTTTCTTCTACACACAAAATCTACACTACAAAATCCCTATATTACAACTAATACATTGCAACTACATTACATTTTACATATATCACATTCCATTACAGCATATTACGCCTAATAGGAAAAAGATTTGAAACAAACTTAGATCGTAAACTCGCTTTCGAAGATCCAGGCTAAGAAGAAACGTATCCCTAGGCAGACGAAGAAGTTGCAACAACGGATATTGCAAGCGTCGTGTATGGTGCAACGTAACTTAATTGTCGGGATATCTGTCGGGAACCTTCTCGATGAGCATGGTCGTCCCTGGGATGGCAATCTTCTCGGGCTCCGCTCTCTTTGCATTTCTCGGCTGGATTTTCAGCCAAAACCCGTTCTCCGACGTCATAGAGAATCCATTCCTGTCCAGTTTCAACGGTATGGAAGATTTGGCGCACGGCGCGAGATCGCACTTGGCGAAAATGTAGAAAAGCAACACTTTCGTCTCTAATAGAGCGAACCTGTTGCCGATACACATCCTGGGACCCAACCCAAACGAGAGGAACGAGAGAGAGTTGGACATCTGTTTCGGATCGTCGTAGAATCTATCGGGATCGAATTTCTTGGGCTCTGAATAGTACTGTGAATCGTGTTGAATGCCATAAATCGGTATGGATATGCTGTCGTTTTGTTGCACGACGTACGGCTTCGCTCCCGGCACGTGTGGCGGCAATTCGAACGGTTTCACGCAGACTCTGTCGGTAGCGACCGCCGACGGGTACATCCGAAGACTCTCGAGAATGACAGCATCCAGATACTTCATGCCGTTGATGGCCTCGTACGTAACCTGGCCGTTGCAATCCTCCAAAACCTGATCGATCTCATCTTGCAATCTTTTCTGTACCTGGTCGTTGATACCGATCTCGTAAGCGGCGAAGCACATGAGAGTTGAGGTGCTCTCGAATCCACCGAAGAAAAAGATGAACGCCTGAGCAGTCATGTCGTCGATGGTCAACTCTTTGCCTGGCCCCAATTTCCCTCTAGTCTCCATCATCAACTGAATCATGTCCGGACGAACGATACCGTTTTCGTCTCGGAATTTTATCGTGCTGGCTACCAAGTCCGTGAAGAAGTCGACGATCTTCTGCTTGAATACCTTGATACCGAGCAGTCGGCATAACCACGGAAAATGTCTCGCTGCGAAAAACCTGAGAGACTGCGCTCTTCCAAAGCTGGTTGACTCTCTGCCATACACGTAAAACTTGTTTTCCGGATCCTTCATCGAATTGACGTTAATGCCAAACGAGCAAGTGCCAATCACGTCGTTGGTGTACTTGGTGAACGCGTCTTTCAACTCCAAAGTCGGCTGGTCGGCGGGCAAGGATGCGAAATAATCGCCGTACTCTTTGGCACAGTCGCGCATCAACACGAACATGGACTTCATCTTACTGGACGTGAAGGCCGGTGTCAACAGGTTCCGTATTTCCCTCCATCTTTCGTCGCACAGAGAAAATATGTTCTTGGAGAAGAGGGGCTCCAGGTCCGCTTCAAAAGCCATTCTGTGATTTGGGAAGTGATCGAAATTCTTCACGGTGATGGACTTGATCAGGTCGAGATCTCGAATCATGAGCAGTGGCGAATCGAACTCGAAGAAACCGACATACTTTGACTCGGGATTCGAATTGTAAATCTTTTCTATGATCTCGGCGAACGACAGTCGTTGAAAGAATGCCTCCCACATGTTTCCTAAAAACGGCATCGGTTTTTCGTACGGAATCGCACGTTTCTTGAAGAAGTCATAGTTACGAGTGGCTCGGTAGTAGACTACTGCTAATACGGCCAACACGGCCGCGATTATCGGCCACCAATCCATTTCCAGATGCGCTGTTCTTCGGATGTTCACTATCTATCAGCAACGATCCCGCTCACTGTCCAGAAAGGATCATCGAGAGACTGGATAATTGTAGAGGGTAGGATCACCGACCACGTTCGATCCGTTGATAGAGAGAACGTTTAGCAACGGCAGCGCATACTCTCGCGTCAGTGTACTCGCGATGACTGAAGACGCAGTTCGATGACGGTTGTATTAATCTGCCGCGTCGCGTTCGTGCTGCTACCAATGTACGTACGATAAAATAGTAGAACTGTTGGCGCGGTGATCGTGCAGCGGTATTTTTGCGCGAGAAAACGAGTTATAGATAATGGTACATTACCACTTTGACAACCGTCCAATTATGTTCACTTTCGCTATTTCTTGCCATTTTATCTTATCATTTAATAAATGGATACGCTGTCACTGAACGTGTGTACATACATACATTTTCGCGTACATACTTGGGAAATGTTGTCTGATTGCAGACATACGAGAATGTTATAACTGAAACGGTCACGGTAAAAAAAATTATTCTCGCATAATGTTTGATTTTTCCTGCGCTTTATTTCAAACTTACCTGGCTTCCCTCTTCCAATGAACTATCATATAACATGGTACATGTGAAATCTTACAGAGGCTTTCTGAATACGAAATAACGTGATTGGCGCGAAAATTCACCGAGAAATAATTAAACGACGGACGTTTTCGCGAAAGTTTCTTTTTTTTTTTTGCAGCGATTCCTTTTAATTTAAAAATTTACAACTTTGAATTCGATACGTCTATTTGCGTACGTTTGCGTATGTTTGACGTGAACGAATCACAGCTCAAGTAACGACACGCAACCAGAATCTTTTTGTGGTGAGAAATGTTTCCCTGATCTTCAGTTCCATAGCCACGGTCGTCTTGGAACAAACTTGGATTCGAAAGTGAACAACACGCGCGACTTTAGTCCTGAATTTTTTGCCGATACAATAGCAAACGGGAGATACGCGTCGCTATTGATCAGAATACACTTTTTGTCCAAAAATCGAATCGGCTCGAAGCAGTCGGGTTTCTCGAAATACTTTGGGTTGCGTTGGATCGTGTAAATCGTAAACCCACTGATGAGAGCCTTGCTCCATTACGTACGACTTGGTTACTGCCGGTAACTCGAACGGTATCGAGCACTCTCGATCGGTAAATGGTACGACTGGATACATTCGCAGAATCTCGTTGATCACGGCGTCGCGATACTCGAGGCTGTCCAATCTTTCCAAGGTGATGTCGCCGTGTTGGCAATCGGCCAGAGCGGCGTCGATCTCCGCGGCCACCTTGTGGACTGGACGTGGTCTCGAAGCCGAAAAAGAAGGAAAACGCCTGAGCGGTGATGTCATCGACGCTCATATCTCTGCTCTTCTTGCTCTCCGTCATCAGTTGAATAAACTCGGCCGGACGATGCCTTTCTCCTCTCTCGTTCGAATATTCTCGGACACCAGGTTCTTGAATAAGCCCATCGTCTTGTCGCTGAACAAAGTTGCGCCGAATTTGTTGGCCAACCTTGGAAACAATCTTGGCAAAACGAACTTGAGAATCTCTACGCTGTGAATGTCCAGAACTTCTCTGCCTAACTCGTAAAATCGATTGTTTCGATCAGCCAGCGAGTCGATCGCTGATATCTTAACGTTTAAAGGCGGATGTTATCGTTGTTTGTTTCAAAACACTTGAAATTCAGAAAAAATACAAGACATTGATATCTTTATCTGGGAACGATTAAACACGAGAATTAAACAGGAATTATGATCGTATGATTATTTTTCTAACTTAGTGCAAAGTCAGTACACTTATTTCGAATAATCATTTTATTTAATTCCAACAAACCTACGAATATATATATTTCTCGTAAAAATATATTAAATCCCTGTAAAAACGTGTAAAAAAAAAAGAAATCTATGAAAGATTATTATCTCATTTTAATACGAAAATATTTTTCAAATCGGCCACAAAATTCTCGGTTATTTTCCACAGACTCTGCGAGATCGTAGGAATCGGCAGAAAATTCTTTGACAATATCGTTTGAAGTCGTGAAAATTAACAATTTTTCTGGCGGAACAAACTAGAGGTCAGTAAAAAAAAAAAAAAAGAAAACAGATAAATCCCATCTTGGTGTTGAAAATATGAATGCGTAAATAATGGTTCATAACTAGTGCATTTGGAATGAATTATATTGCAACTGAATTGCATTTTGCATATGCCACCCAATTATACTATATTACAATCAAATATAAAAAGATTTAAAACAAATCGGTCATAGATTCGCTACCGACGTTACTGCTAAGATGAAATATAGTCCTAGACAGAGGAAACTAAGAAATTGCAGCAACCAATATTGCAATCATCGTGCGCACTGCGTACGTAACTTAATTGTCGGGATATCTGTCGGGAACCTTCTCGATGAACATGGTCGTCTCTGGAATGGCAATCTTCTCGGGTTACACTCTCTTTGCATTTCTCGGCTGGGTTTTCAGCCAAAACCCATTCTCCAACGTCAGAGAGAATCCACTCCTGCTCAGTTTCAACGGTATGGAAGATTTGGCGCACGGTGCGAGATCGCACTTGGCGAAAATGTAGAAAAGCAACAATTTCGTCTCTAACAGAGCGAACCTGTTGCCCATGCACATTCTGGGACCCAGCCCAAACGAGAGAAACGAGAGAGAGTTGGACATCTGTTTCGGATCGTCGTAGAATCTATCGGGATTGAATTTCTTCGGCTCCGGATAGTACTGTGAATCGTGTTGAATGCCATAAATCGGTATGGATATGCCGTCGTTTTGTTGCACGACGTACGGCTTCGCTCCCGGCACGAGTGGCGGCAATTCGAAAGGTTTCACGCAGACTCTGTCGGTAGCGATCGCCGACGGGTACATGCGAAGACTCTCGAGAATGACAGCCTCCAGGTACTTCATGCCATTGATGGCCTCGTATGTAACCTGGCCGTTGCAGTCCTCCAAAACCTGATCGATCTCATCTTGCAATCTTTTCTGTACCTGATCGTTGATGCCGATCTCGTAAACGGCGAAGCACATGAGAGTTGAGGTGCTCTCGAATCCACCGAAGAAGAAGGCGAACACCTGAGCAGTCATGTCTTCGATGGTCAACTCTTTGCCTCGCCCCGATTTCCCTCTAGTCTCCATCATCAACTGAATCATGTCCGGACGAAAGATACTGTTTTCGTCTCGGAATTTTATCGTACTGGCTACCATGTTCTGGAACAAGTCGACGACCTTCTGCCTGAATACCTTGATACCGAGCAATCGGCATAACCACGGAAAATTTCTCGCTGCGAAAAACCTGAGGGACTGTTCTCTTCCAAAGCCGGTTGCCTTTCTGCCGTACACGTAAAACTTGTTTTTCGGATTCTTGATCGAGTTGACGTTAATGCCGAACGCGCAAGTGGCGATCACGTCGTTGCTGTACTTGGTGAACGCGTCTTTCAACTCCAAGGTCGACTGGTCGGCGGGTAAGGAAGCGAAATGATCGCCGTACTCTTTGGCACAGTCGCGCATCAACAGGAACATGGATTTCATCTTGCTGGACGTGAAGGCCGGTGACAATAGGTTCCGTATTTCCTTCCATTTTTCGTCGCACAGGGAAAATATGTTCTTCGAGAAGAAAGGCTGCAGGTCCGGATCAAATCTGTGGTTTGGAAAGTGATCGAAATTCTTCACGGTGATGGACTTGATCAGGTCGAGATCTCGAATCATGAGCAGTGGCGAATCGAACTCGAAGAAACCGACGTATTTCGACTCGGGATTCAAATTGTAAGTCTTTTCTACGATCTCGGCGAACGACAATCGTTGAAAGAATGTCTCCCACATGTTTCCTAAAAATGGCATCGGTTTGACGTACGGAATTCCATGTTTCCCGAAAAAGTTGCAGTTACGAATGAATCGGTAGTACACAACTGCTAATACGGCCAACACGATTATCGGCCACCAGTCCATTTCCAGATTGTTATTTCAGTTTTCTAACAAGTATTGATCATCTATCGACAACTGGATCAGCGTTAGCCTCTTTCTTTCCTTCTTTCGAACGATCGCGCTCACTTTCCAGAATGGATTATCCACTAGTTTTGAAAGGTCGCAGGAAACAATCAGCAACTACGTTCGATACGTTGATGAAGAGAATGTTTAGCAGACGCTCTCGCGACAATGTGTTTGCGATGACTGAGAACGCGGTTCGATGGCAATCGTATTAATAAGCGACGCTACGTTCGTGCTGTCGATGAACGTAAGACGAATCAGTCTATTAATCAGGATATTAGCGCAATTATCGTGCCATCGGCATTTTTTGCTCTAAGAAACGAATCTCATCTAGTTATAGATAAAAATTGAGCAACTTTCGTTATCCGTTCGCTGTTTTATCAGCGAATTAATAGATGGATAAATGTACTGTCGCAGTTGAATATATACGCACGCACGTAGGTACATACGCATGCACGTAGGTACATACGCACGCACATAGGTACGCACGCACGTACTAGTTGCACTAGTTGTACCGTGCTCGAGAAATATTCTGTGGTTGCAGGCACGCGAGGATATTATAATCGAAACGGTTGTGGCCAAAGATTGCTTATTATTCTCGACTATATTTTGATTTGTCTTTCGCTTTATTTCAAACTTTTCTGGGTTTCCTCTTCCAGAGAACTATCATATAACGTGATGCATGCATTCTTCAGAAGTCACCAAAATCTGGGCCCTCCTACAGATTCGTTGGAGGGACGCATGCGGACAAATTAGTGCCCCAATAACACAATAAATCAGAAAAATTACTAGAAAAGATTAAAAAGTATATTACGGATAAAAAGCCGATCATGGGAAGAGTCTTTTTGTCGTTAATTTTCAGGAAAAACAATCGTCATACGTACTCTCAATATATATACATATTTCTTTTCTGTATCAGCAAAGATATCTCAATGTTAAAAAGCAGTAGACGAATATTATTGTTGTTTGTTTTAAAATTATCAAATTTCAGGAAGAATATAAAATCTTTTTCTGAGAGCGACAACGACTAGATACGATGATTAAATGGAGATAATGTGATCGTATGATTATTTTCCTAATTTAGCCAAGGGTCAATAAATTTATTTCGAATAGACGTTTTATTTAATTATAATAACATTTAACGAATATTTCTCGTAACAAAGAATATATCAAATCTTCGTGAAAACGTAGAAAAAGAAGAAATCTATGGAACATTATTATCTCATTTTAATACAAATATATTTTTCCTGTCGGCCACAAAATTCTCGGCTATTTTCCACAGATTCTGCAAGATCGTAGGAATCGACTGAAAATTCTTTGATACTGTCGTTTGAAGTCGTGAGATTTAACAATTTTCTTGGCGGAACAAACACAGGTCAGTAAAAAAAGAAGAAAGAAAACAAATCCCACCTTGTTGTTGAAAACGTGCATGCGCGAATAATCGTTCGTAACTTGTGCATATTTTAAATAAATTATATCGCAACTGCATTGCATTTTGCGTATGCCACCCCAACTTATATTATGACGAATTATAAACAGATTTACAAATCGATCATAGATTCGCTTTCGAAGTTCCTGCTACGAAGAAACGTATCCCTAGGCAGACGAAGAAGTTGCAGCAACGGATATTGCAAGCGTCGTGTACGGTGTAACGTAACTTAATTGTCGGAATGTCTGTCGAGAACCTTCTCGATGAGCATGGTCGACCCTGCGATCGCAATCTTCTCCGGCTGCGCTCTCTTTGCATTTCTCGGCTGGATTTTCAGCCAGAACCCGTTCTCCGGCACCACGGCGAATCCGGTCGAGACCAGTTTTAATGATTTTGAGGACTTGGCGCATGGTGCGAGGTCGCAGTTGGCGAAAATGTAGAAGAGCAAAACTTTCGCTTCCAATAGAGCAAATCTGTTGCCGATGCACATCCTGGGACCAAGCCCAAACGAGAGGAACGAGAGAGAGTTGGACAGTTTCGAATCATCGTAAAATCTGTCAGGATTGAATTTCTTTGGCTCCGGGTAGTACTGTGGATCGTGTTGAATGCAAGAGATCGGTATCCACACGGTATCGCCTGGCTGCACTACGTAAAGCTCCGCTCCCGGCACGCGTGGCGGCAATTCGAACGGTTTCGTGCAGACTCTGTCGCTACCGACAACCGACGGGTACATCCGAAGACTCTCGAGGATGACAGCATCCAGGTACTTCATACCGTTGATGGCCTCGTACGTGACTTCGCCGTTGCAATCCTCCAAAACCTGGTCGATCTCATCTTGCAATCTTTTCTGTACATGGTCGTTGATGCCAACTTCGTAAGCGGCGAAGCACATGAGTGTTGAGGTGCTCTCGAATCCACCAATGAAGAAGACGAACGCCTGAGCAGTCATGTCGTCGATGGTCAACTCTTTGCCTGGCCCCAATTTCCCTCTCGTCTCCATCATCAGATGAATCATGTCCGGTCGAACGATACCATTCTCATCGCGAGTCTTTATAGTGTTGGCTACCAATTCCTCGAAGAAATCGATAATCTTGTGCTTGAACGCCTTGATACCGAGCAATCGGCATAACCACGGAAAATTTTTCACCGCGAGAAATCTGAGGATCTGCGCCGCTCCAAAGTTGGTTGCCTCTCTGCCGTACAGGTAGAACGTGTTTCTCGGATTCTTCATCGAGTTGACGTCAACGCCGAACGCGCAAGTGGCGATCACGTCGTTGGTGTACTTGGCGAACGCGTCTTTCAACTCGAACTCTTTCGACTGATCGGCAGGCAAAGAAGCGAAGTAATCGCCGTAGTCTTTGGCACAGTCGCGCATCAACACGAACATGGACTTCATCTTGCTGGACGTGAAGGCCGGAGTCAAAATGTTTCGTACTTCCTTCCACCTTTCGTCGCGTAGAGAAAAGAGGTTCTTCGAGAAGAGAGGGTCCAGGTCCGGGTCGAAAGCCAATCTATGATTTGGAAAGTGGTCGAAATTCTTCACGGTGATGGACTTGATGAGATCGAGGTCTCGAATCACGAGCAGAGGTGTATCGAACTCGAAGAAACCGACGTACTTTGACTCGGGATTCGAATTGTAAATCTTTCCTATGACCTCGGGGAACGAGTGTCGTCGAATGATAACTTCCCACATGTTTCCGAAGAACGGCATCGGTTTGACGTACGGAATCTCACGTTTCTCGAAAAAGTCGAAGTTACGAGTGACTCGGTAGTAAAGAACCGCTAGCACAGCCAACACGGCCGCGATTATCGGCCACCAGTCCATTTCTAGATGCGTTGTTATTTCGCTCTTCTAACATGTACCCATCGTCTATCGGCAACTAGATCAGCATCAGCCTCTTTCTTTCCTTCAAACGATCGCGCTCACTTTCCACAAAGCATCATCTACTAGTTCGAGAGATTGCACGAAACGATCAGCGACTACGTTCGATCCGTTGATAAAGAGAACGTTTCGCAGCTGCGGACGCTCTCGCGCCAATGTGTTTGCGATGACTGAGAACGCGGTTCGGTGGCGATCGTTTTAATATGCGGCGCCACGTTCGTGCTGCTGATGAACGTACGACGAAACAGTCGGAATACTCGCGCGATGATCGTGCCATCGGCATTCTTTGCCCTAAGAAACGAATCTCATCTAGTTATAGATAAGAGATGAGTAACTTTTGTTATTCGTTCGCTATTTTATCTGCCAATTAATAGATGGATAAATGTACTGTCATTGAATATGTACGCACGCTTGCAGACACGCGAGGTTTATTATAATCGAAACGGTTGCGACTATTGTTTGATTTGTCTTTCGCTTTTGTGAACTGATCATATAACGTGATGCATGCATTCTTCAGAAATCATCAAAATCTGGGCCCTCCTATAGATTTGTATTTATTTGGTGAAAGGACGCATGCGGAATTATTGCCCAAATAACACAATAAAACAAAAAAATTACCAGAAAAGATTTAAAAATATATTACGGCTAAAAAGCCGATCATGAAAAGAGTCTTTTTGTCGTTAATTTTCGGGAAAAACAATCGTCATACGTACTCTCAACATATACATATTTCTTTTCTGTATGAGCAAAGATATCTCAACGTTAAAAAGCAAGCATATATTATTGTTGTTTGTTTTAAAATTATCAAATTTCAGGAAGAATATAAAATCTTTTTCTGAGAGCGATAACGACTAGATACGATGATTAAATGGAGATAATGATCGTATGATTATTTTGCTAATTTAGCCCAAGTTTAATATATTTATTTCGAATAGACGTTTTATTTAACTATAATAACTCTACATTTAGCGAATATACATATTTCTTGCAACAAAGAATATATTAAATCTTCGTAAAAATCTTTGTAAAAAGAAGAAATCTATGATTGTTGTCTTATTTTAATACAAAACAAAATTTGTCTTTTTGATCACAATTCATGTATGGCTATTTCATATACATTCGTAGGAATCGGCAGAAAATTCTTTGATAATATCTTTTAAAGTAAATTAACAATTTTCCCGGCGGAACAAACAAAGGTCAATAAAAAGAAAAAAAAATCCTATCTTGTTCTCGAAAACGTGAATGCGCGTAACTTGTACATTTAGAAATTGAAAATGTTTCCAGCTGGAGACCATCTTTTCACATACGCGTAATTCATAGATTTTACGAGCTAGTACAAAAACATTCTCGTTCCCTGTATATTCTTTTTTATAAAATCCCTTATTTTATTACATTACAACTAATATATATTTCAACGTCACATTTTACTTATATCACATTCCATTATAGCACATTACGCCTAATAGTAAAAAGATTTAAAACAAATCGGTCATAGACTCGCTTTCGAAGTTCCTGCTACGAAGAAACGTATCACTAGACAGACGAGAAAGTTGCAGCAATGGATATTGCATGCGTCGTGTATGGTGCAACGTAACTTAATTGTCGCGATGTCTGTCGGGAACCTTCTCGATGAGCATGGTCGACCCTGCGATCGCAGTCTTCTCCAGCTACGCTCTCTTTGCATTTCTCGGCTGGATTTTCAGCCAGAACCCGTCCTCCGACGTCATAGAGAATACTTTCCTGTCCAGTTTCAACGGTATGGAAGATTTGGCGCACGGTGCGAGATCGCACTTGGCGAAAATGTAGAAAAGCAACACTTTCGTTTCTAATAGGGCGAACCTGTTGCCGATGCACATCCTGGGACCCTGCCCAAACGAGAGGAACATGAGAGAGTTGGACATCTGTTTCGGATCGTCGTAGAATCTATCGGGATTGAATTTCTTCGGCTCCGGGTAGTACTGTGGATCGTGATGAATGCCATAAATCGGTATGGATATGTTGTCGTTTTGTTGCACGACGTACGGCTTCGCTCCCGGCACGCGTGGCGGCAATTCGAACGGTTTCACGCAGACTCTGTCGGTAGCGACCGCCGACGGGTACTTCCGAAGACTCTCGAGAATGACAGCATCCAGATACTTCATGCCGTTGATGGCCTCGTACGTAACCTGGCCGTTGCAGTCCTCCAAAACCTGATCGATCTCATCTTGCAATCTTTTCTGTATCTGGTCGTTGATGCCGACCTCGTAAGCGGCGAAGCACATGAGAGTTGAGGTGCTCTCGAATCCAGCGAAGAAGAAGATGAACGCCTGAGCAGTCATGCCGTCGATGGTCAACTCTTTGCCTGGCCCCAATTTCCCTCTAGTCTCCATCATCAACTGAATCATGTCCGGACGAACGATACCGTTTTCGTCTCGGACTTTTATCGCATTGGCTACCAAGTCCTTGAAGAATTCGACGATCTTTTTCTTGAATATCTTGATCTGGAGCAATCGGCATAACCACGGAAAATTTCTCGCTGCGAAAAACCTGAGCATCTGCGCTGCTCCAAAGTTGGTTGCCTCTCTGCCGTACACGTAGAACATGTTTTTCGGATCTTTCATCGAGTTGACGTTAATGCCGAACGCGCAAGTGGCGATCACGTCGTTGGTGTACTTGGCGAACGCGTCTTTCAACTCCAAGTTCGACTGGTCGGCGGCCAAGGAAGCGAAATAATCGCCGTACTCTTTGGCACAGTCGCGCATCAACAGGAACATGGACTTCATCTTGCTGGACGTGAAGGCCGGTGTCAATATGTTTCGTACTTCCTTCCACCTTTCGTCGCGCAGGAAAAAGAGGTTCTTGGAAAAGAGAAGGTCCAGGTCTGGGTCAAAAGCCATTCTGTGGTTTGGAAAGTGGTCGAAATTCTTCACGGTGATGGACTTGATCAGGTCGAGATCTCGAATCATAATCTGAGGCAAATCGAACTCGAAGAAACCGACGTACTTTGACTCGGGATTCGAATTGTAAATCTTTTCTACGATCTCGGCGAACGACAATTGCTGAAAGAATGCCTCCCACATGTTTCCTAAAAACGGCATCGGTTTTTCGTACGGAATTCCACGTTTCTTGAAGAAGTCATAGTTACGAGTGGCTCGGTAGCAGAGCACCGCTAGCACGGCCAACAAGGCCGCGATTGTCGGCCACCAATCCATTTCCAGATACATTGTTATTTCGCGCTTTTGGCAGGTATTCACATATCGGCAATTCACAGATCAGCGTTAGCCTCTGTCCTTCCTTCGAACGATCTCGCTCATTTTCCAGAAGCGATCATCCACTAGTTTCGAGATGATCGATAATTGCGGGAAACGATGACCGATTGCGTTCGATCCGTTGGCAAAGAAAAACAACACAGTGAACGCAGAAAGTTCAACAGCAACTGTGAACGCTCGTAGGCAAATATAGTCGCGATGAAGACGCGGTTCGATGACGGTTGTGTTAATGCGGCTCGTTCGTGCTGCTGATAATGAAAGGCTGTCGAACTGTTGGCATCATGATTGTGGCAGCAGTTATATATACTCTTTAGAACGAATCTTATCTAGCTATAGATAACAAAAAAGTGACTTGTCACTCTAACAGTTGCATTATTACGTTACTTTCGCTGTGTGTTGCTATTTTATTTGCCAGTTAATAGATGGATAAATGTAATGTCATACATACGCACGCATACATGTACGTACAGACGTACGTTTGCACGTATTGGGGAAATGTTCTGTGGTTGTAGACACGCGAGAATATTATAATTGAAACAGTCACGGCAAAAAAATTGCATATTATTCTCGGCTAATGTTTGATTTTTCGTGCGCTTTATTTCCAACTTTCCTGGTTTTCCTCTTCCAATGAACTATCATATAACGTGATACATATGAAATCGTATAGATTTCGTGAATACGAAATAACGTGATTAACGGGAAAATTCCCCGAGAAATAATTAAACGACGGACGTTTCGGCGAAAGTCCCTCATTTTAACGGCGGTTCTTTTTAATTCAAAAATTCACAACGTCGAGCTCGAATTCTACTTTGAAACGTCTGTTCGCTCACGGTTGCGTACAGACCTGGCTGGATGAATCACGCAGCTCTAGGATCGACACGCAACCAGAATCCATTTTTCGCGGTGAGAAACACTCCTCTGGTCTTTAGTTCCATAGGCACGGTCGTCTTGGAACAAACTTGGAGCCGGCAGCGAGCGAGAATGTGAAACAAGGCGACTTTGGCCTCGATCAGCGTGAACCTTTTACCGATACAGTTCCTCGGTCCGATGCCAAATGGCAGATACGCCCCGTTATTGGCCAGATTACTTCCTTTGTCCAAAAATCGATCCGGCTCGAAGCAGTCGGGTTTCTCGAAATACCTCGGGTCGCGTTGGATCGCGTAGATTGGGAACCACAGGTGAGAGCCACGCTCCATCACGTACGGTTCGGCGCCTGGCAGAGTTGCCGGCAACTCGAACGGTATCGAGCATTCTCGGTCGGTAAATGGTATGACTGGATACATTCGCAGAGTCTCGTTGATCACGGCGTCGAGATACTCGAGGCTGTCCAATCTTTCCAAGGTGATCTCGTCGTGTTGACAATCGGCCAGAGCGGCGTCGATCTCCGCGTGGAGCCTCCGTTGAATCTCCTGGTTCGCGGCCACCTCGTGGACGGCGAAGCACAAAAGACCGGACGTGGTCTCGAAGCCCCCGAAAAAGAAGGAAAACGCCTGAGCGGTGATGTCATCGACGCTCATGTCTCTGCTCTTCTTGCTCTCCGTCATCAGTTGAATAAAGTCCGGCCGGACGATGCCTTTCTCCTCTCTCGTTCGAATATTCTCGGACACCAGGTTCTTGAAGAAACCCGTCGTCTTGTCGCTCAACAGAGTTATGCCGAATTTTTTGGCCAACCCTGGCAACAACCATAGCACGGCGAGCTTGAGAATCCCTACGCTGTGAATGTCGAGGACTTCTCTGCCTAACTTGTAGAACCGATTGTTTCGATCAGCCAGCGAATCGATCGCGATCCCAAAGGCGCACGTCGCGAACACGTCGTTGGCGTATCTCGTGAAGATGTCCTTCATCTCCACCACGTTCTCGTTTGCCGGCAAAGTTGACAAGTATCTCGCCACGTTCACGGCGGTCTCGGACATGAGACGAAACATGGACCTCATCTTGCTGGAGCTGAAGACCGGAGTGAACGACGACCTGACTTCCTTCCAGCGGTTGTCGCGCAGCGCCAGCAGATTACTGCCGAAGATGGGGTCTACTTGTTGATCGCCAAAGTTTCGATGATTTCGAAAGTGGTCGAAATTCGTGATGGCGATCGACTTGATCAACCGTTGATCTCGGATCATCAAGACGGGCGTCATTCTGTTGTACAGTCCAACGTATTTCGCGTCCGGTGCCATATTGTAGATCTCTTGGACCACTGTCGCCAAACATTTTCGACCCAGTATCCATTCCCACGTGCTACCCAGCAGAGGGACCGAGCTTTTGTACGGTAGGCCATGCGCCTCGAAAGGGTTCCGCGTTGCTTTGAAAAGACGGTACACTGCCAGAAGCACGAGCAGAATCGACAATGTCACGAGCAACTGATCCATTGCCGATCGTACGAATCTCAATCGTTGGATGAATGAGATTGTCTTTTACACAGAAGAAACCTGCAAGTTCGAAAGCGTTTGTTCGCTCGAGATGAAACGATCAAACTATTGTAATGGACAATGTACGTGTATATTAATAAATAACGTTTAGAAATGAAACTTGATAGAGATGGAAGAAAAAGAAGAAAGAAAAAAAAGAAAATTGTTAAAGTCGTTGGTAAATGATTCGTGGTTAGTTTTAAAAACACTTATTTACATACGCAAACAGAGCGCTCAATTGCTGTAAAGTTGACTCGGCCGCGTACCATTTCTGAATGTCTGTCGATACTTGCGGCACGACGCAATTGCATAACCATCCGATCAAAGTCCATTGTGACGTGCATGCTACACATATATGCTACATTAATCAAAACGCCACTGATAACGTTCGTTTAAACTTTAATTACGAAAGCGTAAAATCTCGTTTCAGTGAGAATCGTTCAAAGGCCAAAAATACTCGCGATTGTTTGATCGTTTCATCTGGACAAAAATTCGAAACTACCTCGATGACAATCTCGTTATTTCCGTCGAAACTGCTTCTAAAATCTCTTACGTTCGTATAACTACTACACCTATTATCTACCTACGTACGATACATGTGTCTGCGCATGCATGTACGTATGTATGTACGTTGTTACTCGTACGCGTGTCGACCATCACACGAAGAAACAGATAATGCAAATGAAACAATAATTATCGTTTACGTAATCGCGCAATGACTTGATATTTCTACTACGTAGATAATTCATTTTACTCTTCGTAATACGCTTCGTAATATAGTATTGTAATATAGAATAGTATTCGTTTGCTCGAGTGCGATAAACGCCAAGAAAAATATTTCCGTTGATACGCGATTGTTTACGCAAAAGTGTCGAGCAACGTGTCAGAATGTAAATGGATTTTTATTATGTGTTATTCGCCGTTAGACGCACGTTCGTTGCGCTCTTTCGATCATCTTACGAATCCTTTGGTCCATCCAAATTACAGATTCTTTTATACCCGACAAAGTTTACCAAGCACGCTCGAGCAATGGACGATTTTTCGCGATTCCCGGGGTAAAAGTTCTTTTCACGTGCCGACGATAACCACTCGCCACTCGTCTACGCGTCGCAATTCCCTGCAAATAATTCAATTAGACGTGCCATGTTCCCATCCAGCCTGCTTCTGTTCGTTTTAAACGAATGCCCGCGGCAATCGAAATCTTCGCATGTCAGCTTCCCATGGAAATTAATGTAAATTCAATTATACGCGAAATAAGGTGGAAGCCGCATCCGTGCTTCAACCTTTCTCTCTCTCTCTCTCTCTCTCTCTCTCTTTCTCTCTCTCTGTCTATCTTTTCCCCTCTCGCGCGCATTTCGTCATCGTTTGAAAAATACGAATTGCTTTCCGTGCTAGATTTAGACGATACGACATCGCGCGCTTCGTTACCGATATTTCGGAATTCTCTCGAAGAGGGACCGATCGAAATTTATAAACGATATGCATAAGCTACAGTGTGCTATAATTTCTACAAACAAGCATCATTTACCGGGGGAAAAAAAAAAAAAGGAATTTCAATTTAAAGTTTGAAACGTAAAGCTTGAAATTCAAAATTTGATGTTTGAGATATATAAAGTTTGAAATATAAAATTTGAAATTTTCGAGTGACGGAGGTAAATAATGTCGGGACGGGCGCGATTAATTTAATAGCTGCCGTTCCGCCGTGACACTAAGGTGTGTCCCTCGGTGTTCGGATGGAGCGGGGAAAGTTCCGCGCGTTGCCGCATATACGTGTAATAATTTTGAATTCACAACAGCGTATTCTAAACGCGGGGCGTAATCTCTACCGGCTCGATTTAGGCACGTATCCGAAGATGGACATCTAGCGATTTGCAACGGCGCAGCGCAAACGAACCGTCTGAATATAGGATAGTATCGCGTATAGTCCGATTATGAAGTTGCCTTAACAATATGGACAGGATATGCCCGGGATAATAGCGGAGTCGAGCGCTTTTGATCTGATTCAACGGAAGTCCGGCGTCCGCCCTCGGACAACTACCAAAAACTCAACACGCATCCCATCGTTTACCCAATCCTCTTGTTTCCTCAATTTTATCTTTGTCAATTTTCGTGAATTCTCGCAGGTGGATAAAGAGAAGTGCGAGTCTCGTGAATACGAATTTTTCAGATCGAAAGCGAAGCTACCCTGGCTGACGTGCATCCAGTTTTGTGCAAGGAAACGAGCTTCCGGGGCGAAAGTTCGAGACAGACTTGCACACTGGCTCTTTGTCAAACGAGAGAAAACGAGACAGGGTGGAGAGACAGAGAAACACGGTGACGAAGAGAGAGAGAGAGAGAGAGAGAGAGAGAGAGAAAGAGAGAGAGAGAGAAGGAGGGAAAACGAGAAAGGGCTAGAGGAACAAAATTCATTTGGCCAAATTAAACAGAGTTTAGCAATTTGCGCTTAATCCATTTGTCGGGGATCCAGCATCCGTCAGTCCGTCCGTTTGCTTCATCCTTCTCCCTCCCTCTCTCCCTCTCTCTCTCCCTCTCTCTCTCTCTCTCTCTCTCTCTCCCTCTCCATCGAACCCTCCACTCTTAACACGACCACCACTATGCACCCTTTCGTTGCTAGCCCTTCCAACGTTTCATCTTACTCCTGTCGATACTAATCTCCTCTAACCGTCTCTTTCTCTGGTTTTCTCTTTCTTCTTCTCGTTCTAGACCTAGAGAGCTAGAGAGCTAGCACCCCGGTGGTCTTGTTCTCTTTACTCCGCATGATTCGTCGTCGTCGTCGTCGTCGTCGTCGTCGTCACCGCCGTCGTCGTGTTGAAAACCGGCCGGGTGTCTCGCAAATTTCCGGCGCGCACACAAGGGCTCGTTAATAAATTGCAGCAGGCCAGTCGTGTGGCGATAGTTGCCACGGGGCGACAACGACAAAACGTGTAAACGGAAATTTCGTTTGCAGGAGAACGAAGTGGTGACGAAAGGGGAGAATCGACGTCGTATCGCTCTCGATGGGACAACATTTCATTCAACATTTTATTCTCCGAGAAAAAAAAGGTAAAGTTTGCATCGTTTTCTTTCCATTTCTTTTCTTTTTCAACTTTTCTCCGATTGTCCTCGTGTCAAATGTATCTATTATTAAGTTAAGCAGTAACTTGAACCAGCTTTTCACATACTCACATACGAGACTTTCTCTTTTCTCTTTTTTCTTTTTTTTTTTTCTTTTTTCCTCGCCGTACATTGTTTCTCTACACAGAAGAGAAAATTCGCTACGAGTGTCCGATATTTGGAAACGCATTGTTTCGCAGCGATACTCGAGCGAAAATATCGCTCGAACCCCTTTTTCAAAGTTCTCGCTCTTGAAGAAAGTCGAAGTGTGTTGCTGACGCGTTCGAAGTGTTCCGATCGTTTCGAGCGTCCGTTTTCTTGATACGACGTGGCGAATGAAATTTACAGGAACGGAAGATTAAACAGAGACTGAACTGATTCCGAGGGTCGAGCCACGAACCGCGTCAGCCTAATTTCTCGAATGGCTGGAACGCGATAAATCTGCAAGCACGACGTGAGGATATATATATCGCCCCTGTGACCATTCATCCCCATCCTATCGACGGCGAAGCGCGCCGTCTTCTTCGCGACGAAAACTCTGTCTTTCGATTCCTTCAAGAACCAGAAAAAAATATCTCGATGAAAGATGTGCGGAGGGGGGGCATTTTTTGCAAAATATGTTTCTTTGTCTTTTATTTTCCATCGTTCTATTGTTGGACACACAGACTTTAAATCCCACTCTGATGAATATAAGACAGGCATATGTACATGTTTTTTCGAGCCATTTTCGATCATTCTAATTGGTTGGAACGTTATACGGAAGACTTCTTCTTAGACTTTTTGTCCACGCAAAGAAACTTATTATACCATATTGATTTAATAATTAAATAAATACAAGTCATCTTACGAAATATACAATCCACTCATCACGATTTCCGATCTCCTTCCGATCGTTACGAGTCCACATTGCTCGGTCCATCGAGCCATAACGCAATATGCATAAATACCCGCATTCTCTCTAATAAAAGTAGTTAGGAATCTGGAACCAAACTCAATTATTCTCTCGCTCAGTCACATCTCACTCGTTGGGATTCGACATCTTTCGAGATTGATATTGAATATTTTATTTTCTCATCATGTCTGTCACCGTGACAATAATTACATTGGCGAAAAGAATCATTGAAAAGAATTTGAAAATTCGATGGTGGAAATAATCGATGAAAGCACTCCGTTCCAGGTTCCATCGATATCACGATTAGCTGATTCGGTGATAGAGGACTGAAAAGCGCGTACGAAGAAAGTATGAACGATGAATAGAAAACACAGGCGCGCGACGTGACCTCAATCTTTTTCTGAAAACGCGTACGCGTGACCGGCAAAAAAAAAGCGTCAAACTCGTTTAAAGATCTCTCCCGATGCAAACGGTCCTCTCAGCGTGCAGGATGATAGAAATTTCTGAAATTCGCGATACGTGAAATTACGTTTGCGCGTCGTCATCGTCGTCGATCAGAAACAGGAACGTAACGTAGAAAAGAGAACAGAGAGAGAGAGAGAGAGAGAGAAAGAGAGAGAAAGAGAGAGAGAGAGAACTCGAAAAACTCGATAGCTCGTTCCGTAAAACACGTTTTATCCTTGTTCGTTGGTAGCGTGCGCGAATCGAGTCTCTCGACTAGTGGTTTACATCGCACGTACCAACCGGCTCCTATCTTATTATCACGGAATTGTTTTCAACCCTCCTTCTCCGTTAACCTCTTTCTCTCTCTCTCTCTCTCTCTCTCTCTCTTTTCCCCCCTATTGTCGTTGCATCTCCGTTTCAAGACCGCAACTGTCCTTCTCTCGTCTATTTAGAAAGATACTAGAGGCAAGCAGAGAAAGATACCAGATCCGAGGCAGCTTAAGTGTATTGGCAGTTGTGTCCACCTTTTATTTTCATCCAATCGAGCGACGAGGACCTTTAAGGATCACTCCGTTGGAAAGCAGTGGTAGAGTGCTCTTCGAACCGAACCGTTTCTGGTTTTTCGGAGGCTCGATTCGGCTCCTAAACGCGTGGTTCTCGCTGGTTTTGAATCAGCGTGAAGAGAGGCTACGTTCTTGCAGCGAACAAAGGCATTTTTTTGCGCTATCGAATACGTACATATGTATGTACCTATGCAAATAGACGTATAATACAAGGTGTCCTGTAACTGGTGGTACAATCGAGTAGATCAGGGATGGCCAAACTTTCTTCTCTACGCGCCAATTTTTGCTCAAGTGAGCTAGTAAGACGCGTTAGTAAATTATTTTGACAACAGAAA